ATGCTGACTGCTGTGAGATCTGTTGTAGCTGCTGGGGATCTATTGTTGCTAGGATGGTATTTTGTTTTGGAAGTCCATTGTCCCTGGAGGAATCTATTATTGCTGGGGGGGGGTCTAATACTGCTGGCTGCAGATGATCTATTGTTGCTATGGTGGTATTTTGTTTTGGAAGTCCATTGTCCCTGGAGGAATCTATTGTTGCTGGGGGGTCTAATACTGCTGGCTGCAGGGGATCTATTGTTGCTATGGTGGTATTTTGTTTTGGAAGTCCATTGTCCCTGGAGGAATCTATTGTTGCTGGGGGGGTCTAATACTGCTGGCTGCAGGGAATCTATTGTTGCTATGGTGGTATTTTGTTTTAGAAGTCCATTGTCCCTGGAGGAATCTATTGTGGCTGGGGGGGGTCTAATACTGCTGGCTGCAGGGGATCTATTTTTCTGCTGTTCTTGTTATTAACAAATCCCATACAAATACCACAAAATGGTACTTGGCTCTGTATTCTCTAAAAGAAGTGGTACTTGGGGGGGTGGGTAGGGGTTGGAGCCAAGTGATGGTGCTCGGAGGTGGGTAGGGGGTGGAGACAAGTGATGGTGCTCGGAGGTGGGTAGGGGGTGGAGACAAGTGATGGTGCTCGGAGATGGGTAGGGGTTGGAGCCAAGTGATGGTGCTCGGAGGTGGGTAGGGGTTGGAGCCAAGTGATGGTGCTCGGAGGTGGGTAGGGGTTGGAGCCAAGTGATGGTGCTCGGAGGTGGGTAGGGGGTGGAGACAAGTGATGGTGCTCGGAGGTGGGTAGGGGGTGGAGACAAGTGATGGTGCTCGGAGGTGGGTAGGGGGTGGAGACAAGTGATGGTGCTCGGAGGTGGGTAGGGGGTGGAGACAAGTGATGGTGCTTGGAGGTGGGTAGGGGTTGGAGCCAAGTGATGGTGCTCGGAGGTGGGTAGGGGGTGGAGACAAGTGATGGTGCTCGGAGGTGGGTAGGGGGGTGGAGACAAGTGATGGTGCTCGGAGGTGGGTAGGGGTTGGAGCCAAGTGATGGTGCTCGGAGGTGGGTAGGGGGTGGAGCCAAGTGATGGTGCTCGGAGGTGGGTAGGGGGTGGAGACAAGTGATGGTGCTCGGATGTGGGTAGGGGTTGGAGCCAAGTGATGGTGCTCGGAGGTGGGTAGGGGGTGGAGACAAGTGATGGTGCTTGGAGGTGGGTAGGGGGTGGAGACAAGTGATGGTGCTCGGAGGTGGGTAGGGGGTGGAGACAAGAAGTGACTTAGAAGGGAGGAGTTCCTGCAACTATTTTTTTAGCAAAAAAAAGCCGTGTTTAGGCCAATGCACATAGGACATTTAATAACGTCCTCCTCTTGGCAGCAGCGTTTTGGTAGAAAAAAATGGCTGGGGCTTGTCTAAAGCTTTTAGGTACATATAGAGGGGTCAATCGCTTGGGAGTTAATTTGTTTTATTGGCAAGAATAAGGCCTCATGCACACGCGGCATATTTACAGCGGCTGTTTTGGCCATCAGGTGTTTTTTTTCTACAGCCAGTAAACTCCCCAGCATGTTATCCTGTGTGTCCATACACACATGGGCTTTTATAGCATTTTTTGGCTGGGAAAAAAAAAGGGAACTACTACGTCTAAAGAGGGGTTTTTCAGCTGTTAGGCCTCATGCACACGGGACATTTTGATAATGCTGGGTAACATTAGCTGTGTAAAGTCACGTTTAAACGTGAGTTTTTCAGCATTTTTAAGCGTTTTTGCATTAGAGTTTAGCAACGTTTTGCCGAGTTTGTGGTTTTTAGCTTTTTTGGGTCAAAAAACGTCCAAAATGGTGGTTTGCGGGCAGGGGCGGACTGACAACTCATGGGGCCCCCGAGCAATAGGGGATCATGGGGCCCCTGTGTTCTTGCCCAAACTCAAAAAAGCCTATGAAAAAGGTACCAGGGGCATCTCATGGGGCCCCCTACTGACCCCGGGCCCTCAGGCAGTGCCTGAGTTTCCAAATGGTCAGTCCGCCCCTGTTTGCGGCGTTTTACCACGTTTTTCAGCGTTAAAGCATTTTTACAATTAAAAAACTCCTCTAGAAACCCACTAGTTCTGTTTTTTTTTCCAGCCGAAAAACGTCCCTGACAAAAAACGTTGATTCCAGTCTCTGTGTGTATGGACACATAGGATAACACGCCGGGGATGGACACATAGGATAACATGCTGGGGATGGACACATAGGATAACATGCTGGGGATGGACACATAGGGTAACATGCTGGGGATGGACACATAGGATAACATGCCGGGGATGGACACATAGGATAACATGCTGGGGATGGACACATAGGATAACATGCCGGGGATGGACACATAGGATAACATGCCAGGGGTGGACACATAGGATAACATGCTGGGGATGGACACATACGATAACACGCTGGGGATGGACACATACGATAATAAGCCGGGGATGGACACACAGGATACCACGCCGGGGATGGACACATAGGATAACATGCCAGGGATGGACACATACGATAATATGCCGGGGATGGACACACAGGATAACACGCCGGGGATGGACACGTAGGATAACACTCCGGGGATGGACACACAGGATAACATACTGGGGATGGACACATAGGATAACATGCCGGGGATGGACACATAGGATAACATGCTGGGGATGGACACATAGGATAACATGCTGGGGATGGACACATAGGATAACATGCCAGGGATGGACACATACGATAATATGCCGGGATGGACACACAGGATAACACGCCGGGGATGGACACATAGGATAACACTCCGGGGATGGACACACAGGATAACATACTGGGGATGGACACATAGGATAACATGCCGGGGATGGACACATAGGATAACATGCCGGGGATGGACACATAGGAGAACATGCTGGGGATGGACACATAGGATAACATGCCGGGGATGGACACATAGGATAACATGCTGGGGATGGACACATAGGATAACATGCTGGGGATGGACACATAGGATAACACGCCGGGGATGGACACATAGGATAACATGCCGGGGGTGGACACATAGGATAACATGCTGGGGGGGACACATAGGATAACATGCCAGGGGTGGACACATAGGATAACATGCCGGGGATGGACACATAGGATAACACGCTGGGGATGGACACATACGATAATATGCCGGGGATGGACACACAGGATACCACGCCGGGGATGGACACATAGGATAACATGCCAGGGGATGGACACATACGATAATATGCCGGGGATGGACACACAGGATAACACGCCGGGGATGGACACGTAGGATAACATGCCGGGGATGGACACGTAGGATAACATGCCGGGGATGGACACATAGGATAACATGCCGGGGATGGACACATAGGAGAACATGCTGGGGATGGACACATAGGATAACATGCCGGGGGGATGGACACATAGGATAACATGCTGGGGATGGACACATAGGATAACATGCTGGGGATGGACACATAGGATAACACGCCGGGGATGGACACATAGGATAACATGCCGGGGGTGGACACATAGGATAACATGCTGGGGATGGACACATAGGATAACATGCCGGGGATGGACACATAGGAGAACACGCTGGGGATGGACACACAGGATAACATGCCGGGGATGGACACATAGGATAACATGCCAGGGATGGACACATACGATAATATGCCGGGGATGGACACACAGGATAACACGCCGGGGATGGACACGTAGGATAACACGCCGGGGATGGACACGTAGGATAACATGCTGGGGATGGACACATAGGATAACACGCCGGGGATGGACACACAGGATAACATACTGGGGATGGACACATAGGATAATAAAGCCGGGGATGGACACATAGGATAACATGCCGGGGATGGACACATAGGATAACATGCCGGGGATGGACACATAGGAGAACATGCTGGGGATGGACACATAGGATAACATGCCGGGGATGGACACATAGGATAACATGCTGGGGATGGACACATAGGATAACATGCTGGGGATGGACACATAGGATAACACGCCGGGGATGGACACATAGGATAACATGCTGGGGATGGACACATAGGATAACACGCCGGGATGGACACATAGGATAACATGCCGGGGATGGACACATAGGATAACATGACGGGGATGGACACATAGGATAACATGCTGGGGATGGACACATAGGATAACACGCCGGGGATGGACACATAGGATAACATGCCGGGGATGGACACATAGGATAACATGCTGGGGATGGACACATAGGATAACATGCTGGGGATGGACACATAGGATAACACGCCGGGGATGGACACATAGGATAACATGCCGGGGATGGACACATAGGATAACATGCCAGGGATGGACACATACGATAATATGCCGGGGGATGGACACACAGGATAACACGCCGGGGATGGACACGTAGGATAACACGCCGGGGATGGACACGTAGGATAACATGCTGGGGATGGACACATAGGATAACACGCCGGGGATGGACACACAGGATAACATACTGGGGATGGACACATAGGATAATAAGCCGGGGATGGACACATAGGATAACATGCCGGGGATGGACACATAGGATAACATGCCGGGGATGGACACATAGGAGAACATGCTGGGGATGGACACATAGGATAACATGCCGGGATGATGGACACATAGGATAACATGCTGGGGATGGACACATAGGATAACATGCTGGGGATGGACACATAGGATAACACGCCGGGGATGGACACATAGGATAACATGCTGGGGATGGACACATAGGATAACACGCCGGGATGGACACATAGGATAACATGCCGGGGATGGACACATAGGATAACATGACGGGGATGGACACATAGGATAACATGCTGGGGATGGACACATAGGATAACACGCCGGGGATGGACACATAGGATAACATGCCGGGGATGGACACATAGGATAACATGCTGGGGATGGACACATAGGATAACATGCATGGGGATGGACACATAGGAGAACATGCCGGGGATGGACACATAGGATAACATGCCGGGGATGGACACATAGGAGAACACGCTGGGGATAGACATATAGGATAACACGCCGGGGATGGACACATAGGATAACATGCTGGGGATGGACACATAGGATAACATGCTGGGGATGGACACATAGGATAACACGCCGGGGAATGGACACATAGGATAACACGCCGGGGATGGACACATAGGATAACATGCTGGGGATGGACACATAGGATAACATGCTGGGGATGGACACATAGGATAACACGCCGGGGGATGGACACATAGGATAACACGCCGGGGATGGACACATAGGATAACACGCCGGGGATAGACACATAGGATAACACGCCGGGGATGGACACATGGGATAACATGCTGGGGATGGAGCGGAATGCTGCGTTCCAGGGCCATCTTCACTGTATTTTCCATGAGACCTGTCAATTTATTTCTCTGGGGAAATCTTCAGTGGCAGAGATGACTATGATGGTCATATATAATTGACTAAAGGCAGTTTTTGTGTTTTAAAAACATGTGAGTGCAATTAATGCAACTTTTTTGGGAATAAATTTCTCTTGACAATATTACACTATTAGTTTTTTTCTTTTTTATTTTGGGCAAATTGTGTGAAAAATCCTTCCATTGGAGCATCTTTCTGAAAGGTGGAGGTCCCTATTGGCAGGATATTCATTATCCAAAAAGCGTTTCTGACTCTTAAACTTTTGAGAGTCCATTTCATTTGGTGAGTGCCAATATATATTGGTTGTCATAAAGGGTGTCAACACACTGAAGTTTCCTTTGCACGAGAACCATCACTATTTCTTTGGAGAGCACATTGGATGTGGAATATTTTAATTCTTTAGATTGGGACTGTTTCTTTATTGTTCTGATTTGGACACTAATATTATTAAAAAATAATATATACAGTTGTGTTCACAATAATAGCAGTGTGTTGAAAAAAGTGAATAAAGCTGAAAATCCTTCTAATATCTTTTATTTCCATCCACACAAATGCATTGGGAACACGACACATTCTATTCCAAATCAAAACATGAAGAAAAATACATCAAATTTGTGTTGTTCCTCTAAAAAAATGGAAGAAAAGTGAATATTAGACGGTTCAAAAAAATCGCAGTGTTTGTATTCTTCTTTACAAACTCAAACATTCACTATATAAACTGAGAAATGTTTGAAGATTTTGCTTTCCTTTGAATGACTTCATGAATATTTGGTTGTAGTCGCACTGTTTCTGAGAACTGCTGTACATCTGTGTTGCATGGAGTCACCCAACTTCTGGCCCCTGTGATCAGGTATTCCAGCCCAGGATGATTGGACCACATTCCACAGTTCTTCTCTATTTCTTGGTTTTGCCTCAGAAACGGCATTTTTGATGTCACCCCACACAAGTTCTCTATTGGATTAAGATCCGGGGATTGGGCTGGCCACTCCATAACGTCCATCTTGTTGGTCTGGAACCAAGATGTTGCACGTTTTTCTGGTGTGTTTGGGGTCACCTTGTTGGAACACCCAGAAAAGGGCATTTACCTCCAGCCTTGAAGGTTAATGACCTCTTCAAAAAACTTTTATTAAAAAACTGTCCAAAATCTGGTATGCAAAATAGGCCCCACTTTTATAAAACAAATATTCATGATGCAAATTGTTCAAATAAAGTCCATCTTCATTCTTCTTTACTGTGGCTTGAAAAAATCCTTTTTCTCGTCTGACAAACTGTACATTCTGATGCCCACTATACCCAAAAAGAAAAATCTTACTTTCATCAGTGTCATACCTTTTTTTAGGCCAAAACAATGTGCTCTTTGGCAGTTGCAACCTCTGCACACGTCTTTTTTTTTTCCAACAGTGGGACTTTGCGGGGACTTCTTGCAGATAGCTTGGCTTCACATAGGCGTCTTCTAATTGTAACAGTCCTCACAGGGAACGTCACACCTTCTTTCATCTTCCTGGAGCTGATTGTTGGCTATATATTTTGGCTATTATTCTATCCATTCCAATCTCTATGTGAATATCAGCTTTCTTATCGTCTTATAGGTTCCGTGTCCACCAAATCTATGACATCATTTTAGTGACAAATCAAATCTGCATTCCATATGTGAGTCTGTGACAACTTATGACACTGTTCAACAATTCTGGAACGACCACACTTGCAATAGAGTGATCAAACAGCACCAACATTTGCCCTTCCTTCCTTAAAAAGGGTGATCTCCACCTCCTTTTGTAAGATGAATGAATTACCTCACTAATAGAACAGACAGGGCTATATAGATTCCTTAGAACAATCCATCCAATTTAGGTCAATGAAGTGATTCTTCCATTCTCCTCATAAGAAAATCCAAGTTACACAGATTCAATCAGCAGCATGCATGTCATGACTGTTGGGTCTGTTGGATTTCTATTACTCTACTACACCTGCTAGGACTTTATTTGCCATGTAGAAATATCATTTCAGTACCAAAAAACAGCTTGATCCTCATCTGAGGTATTACAAGAACAACTGCTATTATATTACTGTGCCACATTTCCCACTTCCAAGATGGCCACGATTTTTACTTCCTGTCGCTGTTTTTGCGTTTGACGTCACCAAATCGGACGCGTTTCGTCACTTCCAGTGACTTTTTCAAGAGAAAAAACCCAGGGCCAGAGCATCCAGGAGCAGCAGCGTTTTGGCAGAAAAACTTAAACGCATATTTATTTATTTCAGGTACTTATATATCGCCATCAATGTACGCAGCACTTTACATATATATTGTACATTCACATCAGTCCCTAACCTCAAGGGGCGTACAATCTAAGGTCCCTAACTCACATCCATACATTGACTATGGACAATTTAGACAGGATCCAATTAACCTACCTGCATGTCTTTGGAGCGTGTGAGGAAACCGGAGTACTCGGAGGAAACCCACGCAGGCACAGGAAGAACATGCAAACTCCAGGCAGGTGGTGCCATGGTTGGGATTCAAACCAATGACCCTAGTACTGCCAGGCGGAGGTGCTAACCACTAGGCCACTGTGCCGCCCGTCGTATTAACGCTAGGCGCATTTAGTGTTACTTCTTTTCAATGGCCAGAGTAAATTATTATTCTGGTCAATTAAATTATTTCACACCCAAGCAGGGGTGAACTGACAACTCATGGGGCCCCCGGGCAAAAGGGAATCATGGGGCCCCTGTGTCCTCGCCCACACTCAAAAAAGCCTATGAAAAAGCCAATGAAAGGTACCAGGGGCATCTCATGGGGCCCCCTATTGACCCCGGGTCCTTGGGCAGTGCCCGAGTGCTCGAATGGTCAGTCCACCCCTGCACCCAAGCGACTGATGCCTGTAAACGTGCCTAAATGGTTGTAAAAGTCATCTGACACTTTGACCAGCGTCAGATGATTTTTCTGCCAAAACACTGCTGCCAAGAGGAGGAGCGTTTTAAAATGTTCTGTGTGCATGGACACATAGGATAGCAAGGAGGGCCATTTGAAAGCAGTAAAAAAATAGCCTGACACCCCTAAGAGTTTGCAGGAGGCCTTGCAGGTTTGTTTTTTAAACTGGAAACGGGGGAGGGGGAGTTGCGGTGATATTTTAAATACTTTAATTTATGTAGTGTTTTTTGTATGCATATGTTTTGGGTTTTTTTTGCACTGGTTTCTAATCTGTAAATCATTGTTGAGACGATGAGACTAATATTAGTACTATGGTACACTTTCTCTAGCCCATAACAAACTGTCGCTAGCCTTACAGAAGCGGTTTGTGTTATGGCTCTGCGTTACTTTAACTGACAATTGCGCAATCATGCAACACTGCACCAAGATTAAATTTACGTCATTTTTCCCCACGAATTGAGATTTCGTTCGGTGGTAATTGATTGCCTGTGTGTTTTTTATTTTTTGCGCTATAAGAAAAAAAGACCAACAATTTTAAGGAACAAAAACAATATTTTGGACTTTTTGCTATAAAACAAGTCCAGTAAAAAAAATGTAAAAATCAAATTTCGTCATACATTTCAGCCAAAATGTATTCTGCGACATGTCTGTGCTAAAAAAAAAACCCCAACACATGTAAATTAATTGGTTTACGTGAAAGTTATAAGAAATGGCGGTATAGATACTGGAATTTTTTTTTCTATACTAATAATAGCTGCGATCAGAAACTTATGGCGACAATCAGCAACTTATGGCAGTGATCAGCGACTTATGGCAGTGATCAGCAACTTATGGCAGTGATCAGCGACTTTTGGCAGGACTGCGGGACTGGGGTGGACATTCTGACACTGGGGGGTAACTAACTTGGGGTCACTGACATCCCCAGTGACACCAATACAGTGATCGGTGCAAAAAAAAAGCACTGACACTGTACTAATGGCACTGGGGAGGAAGGGGTTAACATTTTTAGGCAATCAAAGGGTTAACTGTGTGAGGGGAGTGTTTTACTAGTGGGCGGGGTGCAGGGGCGGACTGACCATTTGGAAACTCGGGAACTGCCCGAGGGCCCGGGATCAGTAGGGGGCCCCATGAGATGCACCTGGTACCTTTTTCATAGGCTTTTTTTTAATTTGGGCAAGGATACAGGGGCCCCATGATCCCCTATTGCCCGGGGGCCCCATGAGTTGTCAGTCCGCCCCTGGCGGGGTGTGTACTTCACTGTTACACACTGTCCAGGAAAGCTAAGCTCTGCTCTCCGAAACAGTGTGCTGTAAACTGACAGGGAGGAGAGCTGCATTGAAAACAATGCAGCTGTGCTCCCTGTCAGTGTTTGCTGGTAATCACCGGCTGGGACCCGGTGACTGACACACCGCAGCCTCGATCGGTGCCATGGGTATGGCGGTCGCACGCCTCACGCGCGCCCCCTAGCATGTAAACAAGATGACGTTTATAAACACGATCCTGTGCACAGGGGCCACTTTGCAGCAGTATATGTACTGTGAGCGGTCCCCTAGTGGTTAAAAAGCGAATTGTTTGTATTGTTCCCAGGTCAGAGACTCCAAGTCCTCAACTGTTGTCAAGCTCAATGTTCCTTCACAAACACTCTAAGTCAAGAATGAGTCTTTAGGTGCCTTATATGTTATGGATAACCTGGAAATCAGTCTATTGCCAATCATCTGAAGCCAACCATGTTCACCTGAACTTTGATCCACCTCCTCTTCTTCCTGCTTGCTCTGGCATCTCAGATAGGGGTGATTTCCAGGCTTGCTTGAAATCCTCCACATATAGCTGACCACAGCAAGCTTTATTTACGAGAAGCTTTTGTATATACTGACTTGTTTCCACTTTAGAATGTTTCACTATGCCTGCTAATCAATGCATCACCACTGGTATG